AGGCAGTCGTAGTGGAAGCTGGTTTTGCAGCAGCAACCAGCAGCTACTTCATCAGTGAAAGACAGGAGTAAATAATGCGCGTTTTAATCATCACATTCTGCGTGTTGTACCTTCTCGCTACTGTCACAGGTGCTGGTACGCCAACGGCTCCCAAGGGTCATCCGAAAGGTGAGTTTATATGCTAGTATGTGACGAAATGCTATTACTTTTTTCTAACGGTTTCTACCGGACACACACAAGGCGAAATCTGCCACCAAAAGACACATTTCTGGGGATACGCTCAAGCGATCTAACTTTTCAATGGCTAGGTGGGATTCATGTCAAAATGCATTAGCCTTCTCATCTAATAGACAGAATAATTCAACTATTTTGCTCACATGTAGGTCTTTTCGATGTTTTTTGGATGACCTCCGAGGTTTTCCTTTCAGGTTTTCTTCCAACTTCATGACCGGATTTAATGGTGTCCTTCTATATCGATTCAGTCTGTCTAAATAATTATTTGTCCGAAGAATCCTAAGCTTACGGCATTTTCCAGTTTTCAAGATAAAAAAAATAGTAATTTATGTATAGTTCATTTAAAATTGACGGGTAATGCTCTGTCTGTAAGAAAGTTGGGGTCTTGCCTGAGTTCGTTTCCAGTATGCTAAATCAACAAACTCTTTTTATCAACTAAGCACACCCTATGGCAAATAGGCTTCCTAATTCCGAAGTAAATGGTTTAATTTATGGGATAGAATAACTGTTTACATAGCCCACGCTGGCAGAAAGATCGGCCGAAAATTGATTGCAGCCTGGCCTCTGATGAGAACTCATTCAATCGATTTATCGATCTGGCGTCTCCGGATTGGCGTCACTAGTGCTTGATTGACTCCTGCCCCCTATAAGTGTTACTTATTTCTTCGTTGACGCTTCTACCTCTGACGTTGGACGCCAGTAAGAGTTCGAAAACTCAGACGAATAAAACCATGATTTCGGTGGTCAACGTGCCTTCCTCCTTACTTTTTACAGCTTCGTTACATGCGTTGGGACTGGCCGCAGTCAACCTCCACAGGAAATTGCTTTAAGTTTCGCTGCCGTACAAGAGATCCGGGACGGGCAAATTTACGATAAGGATTACTTCTATGGCCCCCTAACAGTACACGGGAATAGGGACGCCCCACCCAAATAATAGGGTGACCCTTTGCAACGTTTCGGAAAGGGCAAATATTCGCGTGTCCTAATCCCAACATAATCCTAACCCTACGATGAACCCTAACGTACCTTAGCGCTAGCCTTAAACCTAAGCCTAGCCGTAACTCTGACCCTAATTTACCTGGACTTCGGCGTAGAGACACGTGTTTTGCGGACGATTCCTGTTTTCAAGTTCATCTATCTTCTGTTAACCAAATGTGCCAAAAAGTGAAGGTTACTACCTGCAGGCCGCAGACAGAAAATCGTCTGCGTCGTTATGTTAGACATTTGAAATTGAAGCCTTTATGCATGACCAGAGATGCTGTTTACCTTATACTTGTGGAGTGAACTACAAGGTTGAGGAGTCCTTCGTGAAGTCAGCATATTACCACCGGCGGTGCTAAACTTGTAAATATATATTAAGAATTCCCACAACCCTTTGGCGCATTCGTCACTAGGAATAATCCGATGGAAGTTGAAGCTGGTAGGATGCACGGAACGTCGTGACTGGGAGAGCCACCAAATGCCAGGACAACTCTTATCCGGACGGAGAGTTAAGGTGTAATGGCGCCTTCTTCGTACAGCATGTACATTCGGTGACCGAGCTCATGCGAAATGAACCGAATTTCTGAAAATGTATTTACTACTAGGAGGGATTACTTAAATGGAGTTTTAATATTAATTATTGGGCGCAGCAGGATGCCAATTTTTCAGCATATGCACTCGGTAAAAAATAGCCACTTGGGAGCATGCATTTTTATACTGATTTTCCATGGCCTTATAAATTTAAATGTATTCTATGGAGGACGTAAGCAAAATTATTTGTTCCTGTACTCATTTTATAGTAAATCACGTATTCTTAATAGTGGATACTCAAAAGAAGGATAACTTTAAGTTAACATGTTTTTTTTCAAATTCGCAACTATTTTAGAGCTCGATCCGTTGTAGCGTTTGCCTTTAGGGTTTCGCTTATGGAATTAAGATAATACCGCATAATTTTCATAAACCATTGCCATGGTGGTGGACTATATTCTAAACTTTATGCGTGGTATTAAGGAACAGAGAGGCACTATTTCATTTGCATAGACATTTAAGATCTTAAAGATCCCATGAATACAAGTTTTTTTAAAACCAAAAAAATGCCTTTTTCGAGTTTTTGGCAGGCGGTCGGAAAGAAGTTAATTCAAAAGCCGGTATTCCTGCGTGGCTGAAATGTAATTGCATTTTGTTGCTTGATGGTCTATCTTACAACCCCACTTAAGCAACCTTTCCTAATCGGAAACGCACTTGAGGGTTTTGATTACTATCGGTCACTGACCGTATTTTATTCCCATTCAGATGGGATCCAGGCTGCCCCTTGTTTCCGTGGAAATGTGTTCAGTCGTGCCCGGATCAGGTTGTGCGTGGCCCGCGTAGACGGGTTCTTTAGCTGTCTTAGCCACTGCGTCCGATTCCGCTCCCGATGTTCTCGGCAGCGGGCGGGCAAGGAGGAGAGAATTTTGCCGGTGCTGCACAGGTCTATGCTCACTACCAACCAATTAAACTGCAAGTTTCCGTCTTGTGTGTACATACACGTACAGTGAACATTGCCGTTCGCGACGGCTGTACTGACACGTATTACTACGACACGTGCGGACGACTTATCGCAAGGGATTAAGTAAGTTAAACCCTAGCAACTGCGATCTTCAGGCCCTGGTTCCTTAAGAGGAGTCATGGGAGGCCAGACGGATAGGAACAGTTTATTCTGCACAGAAGGAATGGAGAATAGGCAGTAGGAATTTGGCTGTCAGACAAGCGAGCAACCACTGGCTCGAACGCCGCGTCTGAATTGAGGTGACCGCGGAAATCGCCACAGCCTCTGGAGCGTCCTTCGTATGAGTCGGCCTTGACAGGTGTTTGGTCAGACGAATTGGCTAGACGCACGGGCGTTGGCGGCTTTTAACCTTGGCACATGTTTGTCTGCGCGGAGCGAGTCACTACAGACTTTCACCGTTCTACCCGCATTATGAACAGATACGTGCATGGTCATAAATTTGACTTCGACAGCGCACAGGTCATTGGGTGAGTACAACT